CGCATGTGTTGGAACAAGTGGAAGCACCGGAAACGCTAGCCTCTACCAGGCTTCGGGAGGCGGCTGGGAAGAGGCCAAATAGAGAGATAGCATGCCAGGGGAGTTGGTAGGTGGAGAGAACAGTTTGCCGCTCCCGGGCTAGAACTTTCGCACTTAATATTATCACGAGGTCTTTGGGGTTCCTTTCGATCTATTTCTGGAACTGATGACCAACGTGAGCCCGTCTGCACGCTCTATTTCCCTGGGAGCCGGAGTTAGGTGGTCTCCGCCCCCCACTTCAGACCTGTCACCGCCTGGGCGTGAAGCTGTCAGATCTAAGTCATGATACCGCCTGGACAGGAGACTCAGGCATAGGAAAAAATGTTGTGTGGGGAAGCGGGACCGGGGGTAGGGGGGTATAGTATCAAACCCATTTCAAATTATATTTTTAACATCACAAAGAAAAGAGAAAAAGCCGAACTTCTGTATTAGAGTAGCTTTAGAGCTGTTTGTACTACAAACACGTATATTACCCATTTCATCTGTGCGCCTGTACTTAGCCCGATAGGGCATGAATGTACAATAAAGGTTATTATTAATTATAATAAAATGAACATTTTCGATCGACAGTATCGAGTGAGAACCGTGCCTGTCTAGGCCTATGCCTGGATGGGTTAGGGCTAGGATCCAGAGTCGTGCCTATCTAGTTCTGTGCCTGAATGGGTTAGGGTTAGGATCAGGCACGGTTCTGGATAGTCTCTATTGTATCCAGAACCGTGCCTATCTAGTTCTATGCCTGAATGTGTTAGGGTTAGGATCAGGCACGGTTCTGGATAGTCTCCGCACATCCAAGAACGTAGTTTTGCCAGGTTCTGGATACGCGTGCGTAAGACTATCCAGAACCGTGTCAGGGGATGGTTCTGGATACGGAAACATGGTTCTGGATATGACATGGCCCACTGGCTGGACGTCTTGCCGACCTATGTTTCCTTTGCAGACCACTGAATAGTCTTGTGGGTCGTGGTCCCGTTCCCAGACATCAGAAGGTTTCGTAAAGTCCTTATACGAAGTGTTTTCCTTGGCACTACATTGCATTGTTTTCATTCTTGACCATTAGACAATCTTTTGTAGTCTTTCTAATCATAAGTGTCCTTTAGAAATAATTCCAGGTGGTCAAAGTACTGGAAGATATAAGTAAGACCTTGTATATACTTCAGGAAGACAATTCAGTCACGGGTGAAGATGGGGCGGGGTCTACTTGAACTCTGGAATGTCCCTTTGCTTCTTAAGTGTGCATGCTTTGTTCTTGAGAAGAATTTGAGACTATATAGAGGTGATCTAAGATCTGATACCGTTTATCTAATGTCTTGATTGCATGTCTTTCGGCCTTCAGACAGACTTAAGACGGTCTATTTAAAGGTGATATTGTCAGATCTCAGACCTGATACGGCTTCTTCTGTCCATTAAGGACGTCTTGTTTTATTCCTTAAGTGCCTGTCCTGTCCTTGAAGGAACGGGTCAAGACTTGCAGACCAGACCTTAGGTAATTATCCCGTCTGGTGCTGCTTAAGGGACAGACAGGTCAGGTGAGAGTTAAGCACCTGGAGTAGCACTTGGAATGGGAGAAGGTGCTTATATCTGATTAGGCTGTCTCTAGTGCTTATTTGGGG